TAATAGACCGGTACCTTTATCCGGTTATTTTATCAATTCTTCACTCCTGCCCGTTCCCATTGAACAATATCAAAAATTAGATAAATAAATCACGGCTCATGCAGAAACGTACCTCGTACAGGCGCAGCTCTCCCGAGCATTTCTTCTAAACGACAACACATGAAACTGAACAAGCAAACATCAGGTAAGTAACGCATCAGGTGAGTAACACCTGTACGTGTGATAATAAGGAGTCACATTAAACAGGTGACATTATATCTAAACGTTTACACCAAGCAAGCAAATTTGAAATCAAATTCAAATGATTCGATCGTTTTCAAAATCAAAAGGTCTTGCCCGGGCTGGTGAAATTTACTTAAAACGAAGAAGGCTGGTAAATCGAAAGCACGCTGCATATCCAGTTACAATTAATCGTGATATCAGCTGGAACGTTTGTTTGGCGATCAACGCCCACCGAGAGTGATAAAAGCGCATCGATGACGCAAAAAACATTCCAGAAAGCGGTTCTCGCGAGCATTTTATGTAACAGCCAAGGTACATATTATGCACTGCTAGAGCAGGAATGCTTGGACGAAGCCCCGTTTACTTTCGCTTCTTATGGCTTCTGCGAGACCGTCAGCTATTGCCTGATCGATGGATTTTCTTTCTGCAAATCCAGGTAGCGGCAGCTCGCTGGAAAAATCGAGCCAACATTGCTAATGAACGCTTGATAATAATCTGAACAATAAGACGGTTCGAATCTACCGATCGTAGATAAGGCAGAAAACGTCTACACGATATGCAATTCTGTTTGTGAGTAACGAGATTTCAAATTTTTGAAAAGTACAGAACGACGGAAATGTAGCTCAAGCTTAAGCCTTGTATAAGTATAACAAGTTTGTAACTTTCGATATTTTATATCGGACAAAATAATAATATAATTTTATATTATACCTAACCTAACCTTATTGTATTAACTTGACTGTGTAATTTCAAATTTTTACAAATAGAATTAAAGAAATTTACAAATTTACTCAAACCTGATATAACAAGTTTGTATTTTCGATATTTTGTGTATATATATATATATAT